TTAATTGTGTCTTTTATGAGTCCTGAAACCATGTTATTGTGGTTTCTCTTCGAGACTCAACTTGGTATGACACGACCGAAGTCCACCTCTTTAAATTAAGTCTAGTACATATATTGCTAGGTGAAGGTGTTAGTGTTGTAGGTGACTCATTGAAGCTCATTGACCAAACAGCTTATCGTGTCTGTGTCTACATGATGAAAAGAGATTGAAGATGTCATATTGGCTTACCTTGTGATGGACTTCATTTACGTCAGGGGCAGACCCAGAAAAAATTTCAAGCAGTGACACCATTTGCATAAGGTTGAAAACTATAAAAAAAATTCAATCATGGTAGATTAGTTGTTTGGTTCCTTGCTTTTGCATGTGAAGGGAATGGATTCAAGTTTTATCTTTGCTTCTTTTCTCCATTTTTTTACAAAACGTATTGAGATTCAAAGTCTGTGCCAATCAACTGGTTCATTCGCAATTCCTGAAACACACAATGTGTGGGAAAAAAGGTCACAGAACAATGAAGTTTTCTGGAATTTGGCTAACAGATAATAGAGTTTCAAGGAAGGTAGGAACATAAAGAACGGATGATAACTTTAGGTTTGACAGGTTGCTAGTGGATCCAATGCCCATAATTTGACATGAAGATCCATTAGCAAGCTGAACTGGATTATGGGGTATATTAGTCTCAAGATTGGATAAAAGTTCTTTGTTCCCAATCATGTGATCTGTGGCTACAGAATCAATAATCCAAGGTTGTGAGCTTGCAGAAAAACAAGTAGAGATACCCGATTGTGTTGTACGAGCATAAAAAGTAGATGGAAGTTGGCCTTGAGGATGACCAGAAACTGTAAATTTATTGGATGATGGTTGTTGCACTTTAACTTTGTCTCCCATTGTTAAGTTGTACATTCAGAAGGTTGGAACTCGGTCAGACGAAGCCAAGGAGGAGTTTCATGTGGCGGCGTTTTGATGAGCAACAATGGCTGAGTTTCAGGCAGATTTCTAAGTATACCGGCAAATTTCGACGTGTTCTGGCAGATCCAACAGGTTCCGGCATGTTCCAGCAGTTCCAGCAGGTTCCGGCGTGTTCCAGCAGGTTCAGACGTGTTCCCGGCAGGTTCTGGAAGATTCTAGCAGGTTCAGACGTGTTCCGGATTGTTCGAGTAGGTTTCAACAGGTTCAGACGTGTTCCGGCAGGTCCCGAGCAAGTTCTGAAAGATTCCGGTCAGGTTTCTGTAAGCTTCCAGTAGGTTCCGGAAGATTCCAGTGACAGCGGCTGAGTCCGGTGACGGCACCTGGAGATCCGGTAGCGGTAATGGCAGCTGGAAGTTCAGTAGGGTTCCAGCGAAGTTGGCTGGAGTTCCCGTAGAGTTCCGCGAAATCGGATGGAGTTCTGGTAGGGTTCAGACAAAGTCGGTTAGATTTCAGGTAGGGTTTTCAGACAAGGCTCTGATACCATGTTATCACTAAAATAAGGTGATACCTGTCTCATTAATCTAGAAGAACTTTACACTACTACATATATAAGAAAGGAACCTATTTAAGGTAATGGCGTAATGCTATTAACACACTAAGAAAGAGAGTCTAATTTACTAACTAACACCAATAATCCTGTGCAACATGATCGGACTAAGAACATGGAAGTGACCGACACTTCATCAAAGAAAAGCTAGACAATGGAATGATATGCATGCCATATGTTCCACCCACACAACAGTTAGTTGATAACCTTACAAAGGGATTGTTCAAACCAAGCTTTGATGGAATCATAAGCAAGTTGGGTCTTATAAATATATATGCCCCAACTTGAGGGGGAGTGTTGTTTTAGATAATTATGTAAGTTAAGAGATAATTGTGCGAACTAGAATATTTTAGCTGTAAATTAGCTAGATTGATTTTCTTTATTAGTTGTAAGGATATCAATTCCTATCAAGGAAACAACTGTGTATTTATATGGTACCTTGTAGAAGGGTTTAGTACAAGATAGAGAAAATCATTGTTTTCTCCAGAATTTACACATGGACATCCTCAAGTGTAAGTATACACAGGTGCCAATTGCAAAATCTGGCTACTATTCCTTTGTTGCTGGGAACCTAGTTACATGGCGGAGTAAAAAACAGAATGTTAAACAAGAAGTAGTGCCGAAGCAGAATTTAGACTTGTTGCCCTGGATTTGGGAAGTAACGTGCATAAAAAATACTTGAAGAATTGAATTTTCCTTGCTCAACTCCTATGTATTGTGACAACAAAGTTGCTATTTCTATAGCTCATAATCGAGTTCTTCATGATAGAACAAAACATATTGAAGGGAATAAATGCTTTATCACGGAGAAACTCAATGCTGGAATAACATGTATGACGAAGAGACTACACAAGAAGCAAATTGATAAGTTGGCTATGGAAGATATCTTCAAACCTTGAGGGGAACTGTTGGAAATTTGTTCATGATTTTCTAGTCATAATTCTAGAATATTTTAGGATTATTTCTGTGCACAAGTATAGATGATAAAAACTGTACATCAGAGAGAATAAGAAAGTAGAAGCTGTCAAATGTTAGCCCTTAACTAGTTTCCTCTTTTTATTGTAATTGCCCTCTTTTTATTGTAATTGCCCTCTTTTTATAAGAGAACCTCGTATTCATTCACAGAAATAAGAGAAACATATTTTCCGAGTCTTTTGAACTTGTACATGAACCAAATTAATATACTGTATTAATGACAAAAATGTAAAATTTCACTCAAGGGCCACAATGGGCAGTTTGATACTTTTGCGAGTACCAGTGACAAATTGATCATAAACATGGTCTTTGACCTCAAAGTATTAATCCAATGACTTATTTGAACCCGTTTGTGCAAGGTATGCCCATATTAAATCTGAGTTAAAAGATGGTGGTCTTTTCCTTAAAAATGAAAAAAAAAATATTCACAAACCATAAATTGTACCAAAATAAGGGATCATGATGATGTTTCCTTCATACCACCATATATGGAATGGAATCCAAGGAGACAAGTATTTTGCTAAATGACTAAAAACCAGTGACAGAAATACAAAAAGTTTGGCCAGGAATTCCAAGATGGCAAGGCTTACGTAGGATTACAATAAGCCATATCTGGATTAATTGACTGCATCTGGTAAGTTCAAGGCAAAGCAAACTGATATCCAGTTGATTAAAAATAGATGGAAGCAAGTACACCTTTTTCTTTTACATTATTATATAGTTAATTTTGTTTCAGTTTACCTGGACGCTATCCTTCCCAATCCAACAGCACAGGTAGTGATCTTCTTTCTTTTCATTAGAATGGTAGGGGTAGTGACAAATATAGCAATCTCCACTGTAAAATTTTCCAATATCCTCGCTGGAGATTGGCGTCTTGGCTTCACCATCAATACGCCATACCTAAAAGGTCAAAAATATTCAATTTTTGTACAGCAAACAAGGGGAAACTAGCTAGGAAATAGTTAGGCACCAAAGCAACTGCTCTATGATCAAACCTCGACTTTTCCATTTTCCCCAAGCAAAGGTGGAATTTCCCCCTCTACAGGAGAGGTTTTTGTCTGCCCTTTCAGACCACCACCTTGTTGCTTCAGCAGAGCTAGCAATTTAGGAAACAGCAACATAGTTGGTACCCTACCATGAAAATCTGTCGATGGCATTTAAGATGCAGAAATCAATCTACCTGCTACTTTTCCTCTACTGTCTTCAACAGGAGGAGCTGCTGAACATGGCCAAGACCCAAAGTTGGACCTAAATGAATTTGTCTCGTGACCTTGAATAAGTTGGGTTACACAAACGGACTTGGGCAGATCGTGCTTGGCAATAAACTCCTACACATGGTTATAAGGGAGAATCAAAAACCAATATAGAAGATGAAAAATATTACATCCAAGGTCTACCTCTGCAGCCTGCATGGCAGCTTTTCTATCCTCCACTCGTGTTGCTCGACCAACCCAAATAAACACCTCAGAGCCACAGTATAACAGATAGCATTTTTCATTATGCAATAATGATTTTGAAAGTTCACCACCTATGTCCTGAAGTTGACCTCCGGCAATGCTGCAAAAAATAAACAATGAAAGGCTAGCATGGTGCAGTTTTGCCTGAAATAGTCAACAAGATCAACCTTCAATATCCTCATTACCATGTTTTCCCTCAAGTGATAGACATGGAGGAACACTACGACTTCGATACATGAGACAGGAATGGACGTGCCTGAACCACCTCCCTGTTCGGGTGTGTTTGATATGGTTGGGAGGAAATCCCTGAGGGGATGAGACATAATCAGGGGCGGACCTATGTGAGACACTGCTTCGTGTTCCGTCATAGTGGAAGAACAATTACGTTCCTAAAGGGCGCCACTGTAATGTTTTGTGGTGTGCACCTATATTTCTTAAAATGTAAAATTATGGCAGAAGTTCAGTGTTGCCAAGATGGTTTAAGTAGCCAAATTAAGATTTCTTGTAAAAGTAGGGACCTGGGTTAGAATCCCATTTTTAGCAAATTTCCAGTTTTTCTACTTTTATTTTTCGGTTTCAATATGTTTCGTAAAAAATTGGAGAAAAGAAGAAAAGATAAAACTTGAATCCATTCCATTCCCTTGCAAAGGCAAGGAACCAACCAACTAATCTACCATGGTCTTGTGAAATTTCTATAGTTTTCAACCTTGTGCAAATGGTGCCATTGAAATTTTTTCTGGGTCTGCCCCCAACATAAATGAAGTCCATCACAAGGTAAGCCAGTATAACATCTTCAAACTCTTTTCATCATGTAGACACAGACACGATAAGCTGTTGGTCAATAAGCTTCAATGAGTCACCTACAACACTAACACCTACACCTTGCACTATATGTACTAGACTTAATTTATAGAGGTGGACTTTGGTCCAGTCATACCAAGTTGAATCTCAAAGAGAAACCACAGTATCATGGTTTCAAGACCCATAAAAGACATAATTAACACATTTTTAAGTCAAAATAGAGTGTTGGTTTTAACATGATGAGTACATAGCTGTACCCCAATTAACTCAGCGAGCAACTAAATATCAAGGCACATCATGTCTCGACCTGATACGGTTGACCCCCTCAATTAAACATCACAGGGAACTGAAAGTTGGGATTGTACCAATAAAGTTTGGCAGGAATCCTCTCTGGAACTATATCATCCTCAGTTGCTACCTTCTTGCCTATAGGAGCATACCCACCAAACATGACCCAAAATTCACCTGATTCCCCCTCTGCTTGTAGCTTTCCATCATCTACAACATGTTAAGAAAATAAAATTCAGAAATAATAATAACAATGATGATTATGATGCATGAGAAAAAGAACCTATTCATTCTGTAAAATTAATAGCTTCCCCTATCATGAATATAGTTAGCATTACTGCAAGACATACATGCAGTTACCAACTTCTAAAACTAGGCATATATACTTCGGTTTGCACATTTACCTCAGCGGTTGTCGGTCCAAGAAAATCACTATCTTATTTTCATTAATAACAAATTAAGGGAAATAGCCTTTGCTTGGTTCAAGTACTTTAATTATTAAGCTCTGAAACAATTTTTGCTAAAATGCATTATACTAGTTCTGAAAATTATATTTGTATAACGTATAATGGTTGCCTGGTGGACCAATTCTAGATTACTGAGAAAACCTAACATCAAGCTTATACTAGTAAGCCCAATAAATAGCGTATCCATCTTCTCACACTCCTGATATAGAGCTTTGATATCAATCATGCACAGCTTGCCAAGCAACAAAAATCACAAGTTCCAATCAAAAATCACACAAACGAAAGAGAATATGATCATTAAAACTCAAACAAGCTCATTTTCCCCAGGTTAGGATATCGTAGGCAAAAGGGTGTGAAACAGCCAATAACTCCCATTGCATGAGAAGAACGAAAGCAAATCATGAACATGATAAGGAGCGAGAAGAAACAAGGTGAAACACAAACAAACCAATTCAAGATCTAAGCAAAGTCGGACAAGCAAAAAACCAAGTACCAAGGTAAAAGCAAAGAGAACTGACGAGACATATAGTGAACATGGTCTAGGAGGAAGAAACCAAGTGAAGAGAAACATACCAAAGCAATAATCAAACAATGCATCCAAGAAGAGTCAGCCAAGCAAAGCAAGCACTATAAGAAATAACAAAGCAAAACAGAGTCTAAGACGCACAAGACATCAAGCAAGTCTTGGCAAATTCAAGTAACTCCAATAAACCCAATTGAACAACCTATGCCAAAATGAAAGAGCCCACCAAGCAAACAAAATGGTCCACCAACTCATCGTTACCAAGAAAAGACAAGGGGAGGAGTTCAACTAGCAAACAATGGATCCACCCGTTAGGTTGCTCAACCTTGATGAGCTTCATAGGGTAACTCCTCAAGAGTGAATACCAATCAAATAGATTGGTTGATCAATCAGGTTATCAATCTAGAACACATCACATCTCAACAGCACAGTTAACATCCTTCATGTTTAAAAGAGAAAGAAGGTAACGAAATTGGGCTTTTGAATCTTAAAGATCTTTAAGGTCTCCCTATAAGGTAGCTAACATGGGTCGATATTTTCAAATAAAATGCAAAATGAAAAATAAAAACTTTGTGGTCTTAGAGCAAATTATAGATTTATTTTGGGGTTTAGATTGTTGCCAAAAATAATGATCAAAGAAAGAGTTACTGAAGATTTGGTTGTTGTAGTAATCTTTCTACAAGTTCAGTTTACATTGGTGGCAAATATATGAATTTCAGAAATGATGTGGATTTAATGGAGTCAAAGGAAAACATTGGTGGTGAAACTAAAAGGACCACAAGAGTTTGGATCAACATTACAGATATGGTGTAACCACCTACATCCTGGAATAGTAACGGTATTGAATTTTTCTTCAATATATTGCTTTTATCATCAGAAATAACATTGAATTCAAGAAATACTAATAATGTATATAAAACTGTTTTACAAGTATTCCTAGACGCAAAATCAATCAATAATTATCTCTAAATTAATATTATCTACATTCTAACATATCATTTTTACATAGCATTGTCAATGTTGTTCCACTGTCAAACACATCATATGATATACCTTTAATATATAGATTGACATCATTTGGGTTACAATGTTTGACTATTCGGAGTAATGAAACAAACTTTTTCAAAACCATCAATCTTAGAATCAAAAACCCATGTTGGTTACAGCTTGAGATCTTATTCTTGTTTTAGAGATGGGAGAGTACTTAAGATTCATGCACTAAATATTAGGTAACAAGGAGTCAATAATGTATGAAAAACCGAGGGTGGTTTTGAAATCCTAAATATGGATATAAGTTGGATAAAACAAGGGTTGTTTTGAAATCCTAAATATAGATATAAGTTGGACCGTCTCATATGGTTGGTAATTGTTTTCAAAAGGTAGGAGTTTTCTTAGTAATGACAAGAAATCTACTATATTCTAATACAAAAATAGAATTCATGAGGATGGAATAATCAAAGAATCGGTGGGAAATGAATGATGGATAATATATCAAGGTTTTAGGCAAGTGTTTTAGACTACTAGATAAAGAATTTAGAGAAACAAATAAAAATACGGATAAACAATAAACAGTACTATAAAATGAATCAATTAACTTTTTACATATTTTCTTCTCCAATTTATTAATTAATTAATACATGTTTGAGCTCTTAGTATAATACTATATTCTTTTTTGGTCCTATTAGATACTAAAAAAATGTCTTTTTTATTTACTAATCTTTTTAAACTACTACTATATACTAAAAAAACTTGGGCCCCTATTACTTGTGGGCCCTGAGCATGCACCTGGCCCACCCTCCCCCAGGGATGGCCCTGATTTAACCTTGTCATTTATTAGATAATATCTTGAGTTGTACTTCTTTAGAAATAAAAACAAAGAGCGAATAAAAATATTTCTTTCTAATTTATATTTTTACTGTGATCCTTAACGCATAAAAATATTTCTATAGAAGAAAGAAAATAAGATAATGCATGAAAAGTAATTATAACTAGTGAAAGAGGATTATCCACTATAATCAACAGTAAAGCACACAGGGGAGAAGAGAAGTACAAAGTGTACTTAACTCGTAGGGGTAAACTAATAACCATATCTTATTCTTTAAGACGTGTACTATGTCAAATCTAACAGATTTATATAGGGGTGAAATTTGTACTTTTCATCTGAGGTCACTTCTCTTTTCTTTCTATAGCCAATCAGTTGGACTCAAGTGGCAATCAACAATTTTATTCACACTCGGCATATATAAATAAGTTTATTTACAAAGTAGTCATTATCGCCAATTCCAACTTAATTCCTCTATTGATAGAAAACGATTGGCAAAAACTTAAATAAATATACAAATGTTCTGTCTTAGTCTTTTATGAAGAAAAGCAAACAATAATGACCATATTGGTAAAAATATTTGTTAGAATAATAAAATATGCTTTAATTTGAAATTTGAAAGAAATTCTATAAGTGGTAGGTAAGATTGCAAACAGTACTGATTAAGAGACATGATTACGTAAAGATAAAAGAAAAATCAAGCTAAATGAACAATGAAGGGAATGAGATCCACTAACATATGCCTTACCAACAATTGCGACCTTGCACTTCCCCTTGTGATATTTGTCTTTTAAAAATTGAACAATGTCCAATGCTTTGGATCTTTCTTGCATATTTGTGTTTGCCCCATTGAACTGAAAGATTTTATCTTCAGTGTCCAAGATGAAGACATCATCATGATTCAACGAGGATCGAGTAAAAGGAACCTGAATCAAGAGAAGAAATATATTTTGATGAATATGTGCAGATATGAACTCCAATATGTTTGAATTATTTATTTATGTGCGGAAAACCATACCTGCTTCAATCTGGCAACTCGTTTTCCTTTACATGTGTACAACCGTGTTTCAAACTTTTCCTCTTCAGGTGTCTTGATTCCAGACGCTGAACCCCCCTCGAGTGGCATCATACATGGTTTAAAGCATGATAAAAATCTATTAGATTCGTGACCTTGAAGTTCTCGATACTGTACTGCACGACCGCCAAGAACTGCATCAAGCTCAACAGCTTTTTTAGCTGCTGTTCCAGCTTCATCCTAATTTACGTAATGAATTGAGGCCAACTAAGGAACTATATATTACATTTATACATAAAAATAAATTTTAGAAAAAAAATATGCACTAACGCACCAACAATTAGCAACAGTACCTGGCTAGTATCTTTCCCCAACCAGAAGTGTATATCATACATATATGCACCTGCCTTGCCTGTAGTCTGCAAATACACAAGTCATAGAAATACAATTACCACATTGAGATAAAAGCACAGGACACAAAAGGACAATTTTGAAGGTCATAAGCACCTTCAAGACGATGTATGAATCACCGGAATAGAATCTACCATAATCAGACTTGGGCAAAGGTACTGGTTGCAAGTTTTCGATTCGCCATATTTCAATCCCTCTACAAGGAGTTAAGGAAAAATTCGACACAATAAAAGCAACTGAACAAGATATGCATACATTGAGAAACAAATCATTTACTTCCTTTCCTGTTTGAAATGGAACTAAACTAATGATATCCATCAATGAACAGTTATTCCATATTACAGAAGCAAGAAATTCAGTAAGAATACGCTTTCTGACCAACTCCCTGAAATGCAGGTTCCAGAACTTTGCTAGACATGGTGCAGAAATCCTGCTTTATAACTTTTTTAAACAAGAACAGAGAACAAGACCATCCAAAGCTTTCCTGCCTATGGTTTCAATCAACAACTAACTTGGAAAGTTCAACAAAAGCAATTTAGGATGGCAAAGCAACTTGAAATTCCCCAATTACCTGAGTCAGCATAAGAGAGCATTTAATAAGTCATTCCCACATCGATAAAGAAGTGTTTAAGGCACACATGGAAAAACTTCGTTTACACATTACATAACCAAAACAAGCCCTAAAAAGAAGAGTAACAACAGAAAATGTGAAAGCTCCAGAATAAATGGACTACAGCAGCACATAGCACGCTTCAAGGGTAGTCTCGACCTACACTTTTGAATTAGGTGCTTGTTAATTAAGGTCAGTGAACTTCTCCTTTCATTTCCTTACCTCCCTAGGAAGCATATATCACTGTACCTGGTCCACAAAATATGACCCAACATCATACCAAGTTTTAGCTAATGAGCAGAGTAATGTCGTTAGTTACTTAGTTTTAATAAATGTCATTTGAAGTTTATATTCTCAAATGTCTGTTTTAGTCATAATCGAGAAATGTATTTATAAAGTACATATACGATACAAAAGCATACAAGAAGCTTAAATTAATAAATGATACAATGAACCCAGTAATATCAATAATCTGAACACTCCCTATTAAGTTGGTGCCTTGCCTCAGCGGTAGGATGCTGGGCATCCATAAAGGAGGCTTCGGGTTCAAACCCAGGCACCACCACTAACTACTAACTCCCGCTGATTTACTTCCTCCATGATGGTCGTAGGACGGTGCAATGGGGCCACTCCAGAGGATGGTGTCTACCCTTTATTATATATCTGACATGCCTTGTTCTATAGAGGATTTTTTTGAGATTCCCGTAGTGGTTTTGTTAATATATTGGCAAAATGATTAAGGCGAGCCGAACTAATTCAATAGTTGGAGGCTTGTGAGAAGTTCATGCAACCTTTTCAAGAACTAATGACTGTCAATTTCAATAAGCCTTATACATTCATGGAAAGCTTGATTCTTGGAGATATGCATAGTTGCCTCATTAGTCTAGCTGAAAGATCTCCCAAATATTGTGTCAAAGTTGTATCCAAGTTAACTCGATAGCCGTTAGAGCCATCACTCAGTTTTTTGCTTCACACCAGATAGTGAGGCTGGATCGGTGGTTCTTTCTTTTCCAAGATATAAGGTTTCCACCCAAGAGAATACATTGGTTCTATTAGAATATGATATATATTTTCCACATGTTCAAGAATTGAATGTCTACATTTTTTCATGTCAAAGATTGGACAATCTTTGAGATTTGAGTCGAATGCAGATGGAAACACGAGATCTGAAAAAAATCAAGACTTTTTTTATTCTGCCCCTGAAGACGAGGATTAAAGAAAGGGATATTTTCGAAAAACATAACATCCATGTTAACAAACATTTTTCCTGTGTTTGGATGAAAACATTTAAATATTCGGTGCGATTCCTATAGAAACACATTTGAGGGTTTTGTGGTCTAATTTGCCAAGGTTGATATTGGTGTTCTTAATAAACACGGTACAGCCAAAAACTTCTAAAAGCATGGAATGAAACAATCGTGACTTTGGAAAAGAATTTTCTAAAACAGACATGAGTGTTTGAAACTTTAGCTTTAGAAGGAATTCGGTTCATTAAATATGTAGCATGCAGAAGAGCATCTCCCCATAAATATTTTGGTATTTTAGTTGAAAATAGTAATGCCCGGGTGATTTCAAGAAGATGCCTATTTTTTCTTTTGGCTATTTTTTTGTGTTGGAGTAACTACCATGAGTTTTGTTGAATTATGCCTTGAGCATCTAAAAAATTCCCAAAAGTTTTAGTAAAACATTCCCTACCATTGTCACTTGTAAGAATTTGAATCTTAGTGCCAAACTGAGTTAGAATCATGTTATAGAAATTTCTAAAAACGTGTTCAACTTCAGATTTTTCTTTTAGCAAATAGACCCACATACCCTTGTATGATTATCTGTGAAGATAATAATAAACCATTTATTCCCATGACATGTAGTCACTTTAGAAAGACCCCATATGTCACTACGTATCAAAACAAAAGGCATAGATGGTTTACATGGTTGTGGAAGTACGTACTTTTGTGTAGTTTTGCTAACGCACAAATCTCACATTGAAAGGATGAGGATTTTTATAACCAAGTAACACAGGAAACAAATTTTTTAAATAAGAAATGCTTGGATGTCCTAGTCTAAAGTGTCATAAATAAATCTCGTTGTTACTCAAACAGATATGGTGAAGCAAGAAGTCTCCTTGTAGCTCTATTTGAGTGTATTCCTTCATCTAGTATGCAGAGTCCAGGTCTGAAAAATGCAATTGGAAGGAGAGAACAGGATCCACAACAATTGAGGTCAATAGTGAGTTTATGAATAAAGATGAGATTACAAGAGAGTTTTGGAACATGTAGGACACTAGAAAGAATGAAGTCCATCGATATTTTTTATATCATCAACTCCTGCTATTGTAGAAAAAGTGCCATTAGCAATTCACACCTTTCAATTTCCTGTACAAGGGTTATAAGAATTGAAGAGATTTGAACAAGAAGTCATGTGATCAGATGCCCTGAATCAATGATTCAGGCCGATGTATTTTGTAAGCACACATGAAAAGATGAATGGGTATTTTTACCATATTACACATAAGCACAAGATAGGTTAGCAGAAGAAGATAGAGGTCTGGTTTTGAGTAATTTTAGGAGTTGCTCCATTTGATCCTTTGTGAATTGAGATTAGATCTACAGTTTCAGTTGTGGTGTGTAGGCTCTCTCAGACTTGCTCTTCTAGTCGATAGGCTTGCCATGAAGCTTCCAACACTTGTCTCGAGTACGCCAAAACCTCTTGCAATGGTCACAACAGGGTTTCCTTTTTGTATCACTCCCTTGTTCCACGCCCGGAAATGTAGGGTTGATGTGTCCCTAACATCAGTAGATGGGAACCCATTCATCATCACTTTTCTTCGGGTTTCTTCAAGTCTTACTTTTAAAAAAATGTCTCGGATGGGTGGAAGAGGTTTTCGGCCAAGAATTCTTCCATTTACTTCATTGAGACTTGGGTGAACACCAGCAGCCAGGAACATGAGCACATGGTCATTCTCCTCCTTTTTCTTCTGTCAAGTACAATCTGCAGAGCTCTCCCACACATCATTGTGTCATTGATCCAACTCTTGCCATAATGCTACCATTTCGTTGTAGTAAGATTTAACATCGTGGTTATCTTGTTTGGCTAGCCATAGATGTGTTTTAATTTCAAAGTCTGAATATGTGGCCCAACCAGAATCCACACTTCCTTTGCAGTTTTCATGAACATATGTGGCTTGGCAATGAACATGTTCATTGAATTGAGTAGCCACGCACAAGGTTTTAATAAATGGAAACGAGCCTCGAGGCGTTTTCCCCTTAGGTATGTGAGGCGTAAGCCTCAAGGCGATCGAGGCGTAAGCCCAAAACAATAGGACAAAAAGTTTATAAATACATAACACTTGACAAAGCAAACATAATTCCATATATATACTAGTATGACACAGCATAATACACCAAAAACATAATATACATATATATAGTTACAACATATGACAGCATAATACACAAAAAATATATATATATATATATATATATATATATATACTTGTAGAAAGCAGCATAATATGCAAACACAAAATATACACTATATAAAGGGGTGTAATAGACAACCACCGGAATATATATGTATATATATGTGTGTGTGTGTGTGTGTGTCTACATATATATGCATATGTATATACTACTGGTCTGCCTCTCCTACTAATACCAAAGAAGAAATATAGAATACCACTGGAATATATATATATATATATACACACACGTAGTGTCAGGCAGAAAACTGTAAAAAAATGAAAAACTGAAGAACACCCTGATAACCGTTTATCTGTGCGGTATACACGTGCATACAAGTGATTTGTATGCAATTTGTCCTGTATGCACGTCCAGATGAATGGTTACTAGGTGTTTTTTCTATTTTTCATTTTTTTGAGGTTTTCCCCTGAAACTCCCTCTATATATGTACATATGTGTGTAGACTTGGGATCATGTGAGACCAACCTGTTTTCGTGAGACCCGTGAGACCAGCTTTTTACACTTGAAACTTCACAGCAAAATGCTGTGAAGGTTCGACTTTTTTTAAACCTTCACAGTGTTTTTGCTGTGAAGTTTACGTGTAAAAATGTGGTCTCACGGGTCTCACGAAAACAGACTGATCTCACGTGAACCCAACCCTATGTGTGTATATGCATATATGCACTATTGATCTGCCATTATGATTAACAAATAAATATAGGAAGTGGGTTGTCAAAGATATTTCAATAAGTAAGCCCAAAAAATATTAAGAAAGTGGGTTGTGATAGAGATTTCAATAAGTACGCCCAAAAAATATCAAGAAAGTGGGTTGTCGGTCTCTCCACTATGGCTCACAAAGAAATATATAAAATAGAACCGTGAGAAAGTTGAATAGGTAAGGATATTATGAAACTCTGACCTCCCCACCTCCTAATAAATCTTGCCTTCCTCTACTGCCCCGGGAGGGCTTCCTGGTTTAATGGTACCAAATCAAAATCACAGTGTGGCTTTCTACAATTCCATACGTGACAGACAGAATTCAGGAAAGCTTGAAAGGTAAGTCCAATAATACCACTCACTGGTAAATAGCGCAATACTAAATAGAAGCAAGCCTCTCAAACCTCTCACCGCACAACGCCCCCATCACCGCCTCTCCTTTGCAAAGAGTACGTCTCATACAAGCAGTGAGAGAGACGACGCCTCATGAGCGTTTATTGACCGCCTCCCTTGAGGTATACGCCTCAACCGTTTTTTAAAACCATGGCCACACATTTACCAAACAGTTTTCAGAACACCATTTATGGTATCCTAGATCAGAAGAGGCCGGTTTTGAAGTTTCACCGGTCAAGA